TAATTCTTGAATCCGGGTTTAATCTCTAAAATGTGTCCATCCTCGTGGGTTTTCTCCGAGTCCTCCGGTTTCCTCCCACTGCTAAACACCCCTACGCGCAAGCGAATTATTGAAATATAATTGAACCATATGTTAGTACCGAAATGACCTAGTTTGTGTCGCGTGGACGTTAAATATCTCTCTCTGGACACCTGTTACCACTGTTTGTCGTGTATTTTGTACACGAGGAGCAGTCCATTCGCTGATTACACTATTTTGCTTGAATACACTATTTTGCCTATAACGTTTTTTAGGACTTCGAATTCTGTCTTATGGTTTGGATTGTTCGTACTTGGTTTTATTTTAATTCTCTCTATCTATCTATCTCTCATTCTGTATATATTGGTCCACTATTCACATATCTGTGTCATTTGCTTGATAAAGATGAGAGTATCCTCGTCGAAACGTCGCTTAGTCTTAAACTCAGTTATTGTGTATCCATAAAATTCTACCTTGTGGTAATATGTTCAAGTACTAAATGCCAATCAAAGAAGATCAAATTTGTGATAGAAGCATTTATGTTAGTATAAGTTACGAAGCTACGTTCAGTCTCTATGTAAAAGTAATAATAACTACTATTGATGTACGTTCGGTCTCTATAGTAATATGTACCAGTAAGAATAATTACTATTGATATTTTCTCTGATTCACTGGGTTGTTTACAAGAGGTCACGAGTACAAACCACAACAGGTGTACCGTACAGTAAGTAGTTCTACACCCTTCTTCTTGTGCATGCATCTGTACGGCTACATCTATTTGTTAAGGTCAGCTCAATTTTCGTCAAGGTTGCTGAGATGTAACACCCATAATATATACGTCTAACAAGAGTAGAGCAAAACAAACGCGTGCTAGCCGTTGAGAGAGAGAGAGAGAGAGAGAGAGAGAGAGGGAGGGAGAGAGAGAGACCAAAATAATAATATAGTTCAATTTCATTTTGGGACTAACACATATGGTTCAATTTTATTTTGGGACTAACATATGGTTCAATTTTATTTTAATTATTCGCTTGCTTGTGCGTAGTAGTCTTTAATTTAATTTAATAGTGGGGACATTGACCTTATAGTACATGGTCCATGGTGGGGAGAAAACGGAGGATCCGTAGAAAAGTCATGATGTTGGACAGGTGACCGAACTCCCTGTCACTAATTATAGGCTTCATGATCTAACGCGCGGTGGCGAAGTGGGTAAGTTAGACGCTGGCTCGCTAGCCTGGAGGTCGGGTGTTCGATCCCTGCATTGGCCGAGAAAGTTCATCCAGATTTTCTGGCGTGCTTCCTCCTTGTCATTTTGCAGGACGGAGGGCCTGACAAGAACAGCTGTCTAGTCGTTCGGATGGGACGAAAAATCGAGGTCCCGTGTATACATTGGCGTGCACATAAAAGATCCCTTGACAATTGGAATTCGATATAAGAGTAGGCCGTAGTTCCGTTGTCCGGGCAAAACTACCCTCATAGCACACTGTATGGCGTATGGCCGTCTTCATTAGCCCAGTTCGGAGCAGAACAGTAGGACGTTAAACCCCATTTCATTTCATTTCATTTCTAACTACAGTAGAACAAAGCAAACATGTGATTGCCGTTTTATGATAGATACCACCAATCTACACCGAACTACGTACTGTTCTACGTACATCCAGACTTGGCCGTATGTAGGATTTTAAAAGTGGGGGTGCAGCAGAGTGGTGAGGCGCCATAGCCTCCACGTATGTGATATAAGAAAGTTTCGATCAGGGCAAACGAACCCATTAGGGTGTGGGCGCCCTTAAAACCAATCGACTGATCAGTGCCTTAAGAGCATAACCGTGTGATCACAATCAAGTGTATTATTTTATAATTGAAAGATTGTCAAATAATTATTGTTTTTTGTGATATAAGAAAGTTTCGATCAGGGCAAACGAACCCATTAGGGTGTGGGCGCCTTTAAAACCAATCGACTGATCAGTGCCTTAAGAGCTTCACCGTGTGATCACAATCAAGTGTATTATTTAATAATTGAAAGATTGTCAAATAATTATTGTTTTTTGGATGGGTTGGGGGCGCAATTTCTCGGGGCGCCTTATTTTTCTTGGGGTGCAATGTACCCCCTGCACCCCCGCTAAATACGGCCCTGCATCCAGGTTGTTGTGCATGCAGCCGTACAGTGATACAGTGATATACTAACCGTAATATCTATAAATTACGTAGGATAAAACAAAACACATGGTACCGTTTATAACAGATACCAATCTACGCCAACCTAACATGACTACCGTGGTTTTTGTTTTCATAATATTTGGCAGCCATTTTCTCTAACCCATTAAACAGACAGGTGTTCATTCATTGATTTATTTAACTGTTTACGTTGGCATTAACATCCCTGGGCAGTTGAAAATCACAAAAGTGAAATTAATGGAATGGGGTTTAATTCGTCTTTTTTTCCTTTAGATTAAAGGTGCAATATGGAAGATTAAATAAAGAGTTGACATTTCTCGCTATAACAGTTAAAAACTAGGTAATGGAAAGTGAATATCTTGAAAATTTCTTACAAATACATCAATTTGAGCGACGTTAGGGCTGTTTGAAGAATAGCGGAGCCTCGATTGTCATTGCTACAATTAATTAAATCATTAACCTCCAAATCCGTTGAAACTCTCGATAAAGTTTCTCGGCCAACACCTCAATCGAAAACGGGACCTCTTGGTTAGTTAATTTCACACAAACGGCGTAGGTTAAACATACATTATGCAAGAGCTAAATCTGTCTATTGCAGGTCTTTCTATAGGCCTGAAATGTTATCTAAATTATTAATTAGACATTAATTAACTTATCCAGACCATAATGAACTCTTGATGGCATTGCTAGCCTGAAATGTTATCTAAATTATTAATTAGACATTAATTAACTTATCCAGGCCATAATGAACTCTCGATGGTATCGGATTTCTCCGATATTAAATAGATTAGAACAGTTCAGCCATATTTTGATTCAAGCTAAAAATGGAGGAGTGAGACTTAGCTCCGAACAACCGGTGCGGTGGTTGAAATTATTGCACACGTCTTGTCAAACCTTCAAAGGCTAATATCTTCACTCGCAATAGAGTAATTTGAATGAAATTTTCGAATTATTCATTTTACATTATATATTTTCGAACTATTATAGCGAGAATGGGGCCTCGATTTTCTCGAACTGTCAAGAAATCTCTTACGTGCTCTTTATCTAAATCTTACATATATAATGCATCTTTAATTTTCACTCATGGCACACCGTCGGACAGCAGTGATGCGGCCTATTATAGCAAGAATGGCTAGAGCTCTTTATCTAAATCTTACATAATGTATCTTTAAATTTCCCTTGATTTTTGCGCTAATTTTAATAATGAGGCCATGAGGGCCTCCAAATTCAAAAAAAAATATGTCCTTATTCCCAAAATGAAAGTTATTTATTATCTACTACATTCAGTGTCTCTTTCTTCACATCTTTATTAAAATATTTTCCGATGAAGTTAAGGCGCGTGCAATCCAAATTGGCGCCAAAAAGCACGAAGGTAGGCTATATTGGAAGCAAAATGGCTGGGGAAATGGCGTATTTTGTTTATCAGTGAAATATGAGGTGATGAAAGTCTAGCAACGTTTAAAGGTCAAATAACTGGTATATATACACAAACATATATCGATAATACATGTATAGCCAAATATATATCAATTCCAGAAGTCTGCATATTACGTAAGCCAATGCCAGTCAGTGGTTTGCATATCGCTGTTCCTACAAATTATTATTACCCAGCTAACAAACAAACGTACCGACAACGTGGATATTCACAATTGTTCTCATACTCCATATATAAAATATACTTGTTTAATTCGTGTGTGTGTGTGTGTGTGTGTGCGTGAGTAACAGGAAGGGAGGGAGAGGTCTGGACCCCCTCCCCTCATATGAGGCGCTTTTACAAGAGAGACTAGTATCAGAGAGCCTGTACATTCAAAACAGTAAATTTTCTTCAGAAATGGTCTCAGATGCAAGGAAATTGACTTCAAACTTCCAAAACTTCTGCAGGAACCCCCCCCCCCCAACTTTTGCCCCATATATACCGCCCTTGAGGCTCCTTGGTCAGTCGTGAGTTTTTAGATTTTGTACTGAAATTTCACGGGAGTATTATGCAAAAACGTTTCCCCTGAAGCCTGATCTATGAAGAATAGACCTTTTCTCTTTTAAAACAGATTCTGAAACATTCTTATCCCCTTTTTTTTATTATGAAAAATAACAGCAGACCCAAATAATTGCAGCAAGTCTGCAGTCTGCACATTGTTTTTGTGTTCCAAGTTTGTCAACATTAATTTAATTCTGATTGACTTATGAATTTTATTTGACCATCCATTATAACAATGGCCATCAATAATAGTTAGGGAAAGAGTTCGACCAGTGGTGGGTGAAGGGCCAAATACAAAGTTTTGAAACAATGCGAGGGCCTAACAAGGATTATGAATTGTTATTTTATTGAATAAAGTAATATGAAACAAAACACTTTTTACTCGGCTCCGTAGTTATATTCAGAGAAAAATCAAAGTATGTCAACAAATCAAACAATAACATAAAATGAAAGTAGGCCCAAGTCAAGTGATGTCAATTAGGCAACTAGGTCATTGAGTGATGCTGCAAGCTATAAATAGCCCTACAAAGATTATTGATCCTACAGAGAGTAATGCCTGTTTAGAGTTTGGGCCCAACAATAAGCAATTTTTATTTTTTATGTCATTTAGAGATAAAATTACTCATAAATTTTCAGATGTACATAGTGGAAGGGTCTAGCTGGCTGGATTTGGCCCGTGGGCTGTAGTTTGTCCACCACTTCAGCCATTTTAAAATTTTTTTATAATCTAATTTCTAGCTGGCTGGATTTGGCCCGTGGGCTGTAGTTTGTCCACCACTTCAGCCATTTTGGATTTTTTTTATAATCTAATTTCTTTTATTTAATCTCATTTCAGCACCAGAATTTTCGAAGCGGTTATCAGGAGAGGATACAGTAGACGAAGGTGGTGAAACTGTGTTAACGTGTGTAGTGTTAGGATTTCCGCGACCACAATTATTCTGGTATAAAGATGCCGATCAAATTCATCCGGATCATCCACGTATGCGCGTGGAAGAACAAGAGGGTGGGGTCTACACGTTAACGATTAAAAATGTGAGTAAGGGTGACGAAGCTGGATATAAATGTAAGGCGGTAAACATCGATGGAGAAACAGCGAGCACCTTCTTTTTATTTGTCAAACGTAAGACCTTTTCTTTTCTTTTTTTTATATTTTATTATACTCCCACAAGAAAATGTGGTCTTATATTGTCATTGGTCCGTTTGTCGTCAACTGTAAGCTACAGACATTTTTTCTTTTTTTTTTTTACGTTTTATTATACTCCCACAAGAAAATGTGGTCTTCAAATCTTGGCTACAGATTACTTTGTCATCTTCTTTTTTTCTTTACATTTTATTATACATCCACAAGGAAATGTGGTTGTATATAGTCGTCCATCCATCATCCTACACAAGACCCTTTTTTTTGCATTTTATTTCTTACAGTAAATTCTGGCCCATAACTAGGGGGCGGGGGGCACAGGGGGTGGGGGGGTGAAACTGTGAAAAAATTGTCGACCATAGAAACAATAGATATACATTGTCTGTCAAATTTACAGCCACCCTGAGAACACTTCCCGCCTCGACAATTATTTGAAATTCTGAATCATTCCCAAACATTTATGATCATTTCATTTCTTAATTTAATTTAGCAAGGTTCATTTGATATCATTTTTTTTGTCAAAGGTAAGACCTATTTCTTTTTTTTTCTAACATTTTATGATCCACCCACATGGGAAGGTGTTCCTATAATGTCATCAGTTTTTCTGTCGACCGTCCACAATTTCTTATGAACACTCTACAGACTATCATCCAATTGTTTTGAAATTTATATATGTTGTTTACATTAATGAGATGAATAAATTTCAACAGTGGGCATTTGTTTTGTTGCCTGGCAACCCATCTTCTCTTAGAAAATACAGGAAATTACCATAGAATCTTTAGAGTGTGTACTAGAAAAATACAGGAAAATAGAATATTTAGAATGTGTGGTAATTGACAAGAAGTTTCAGTCAAACTACGTTATTCTCTGTGAAGTTATGAGTGTTTGAAGTTTTGAAATAATGTAACATAGATTATTTATTATCGTAGCAACTGTACTTGACTCTCGATTATCTTATTTTATCGTTAAACTCTTAAAATTTGAGCCATCCAGTGGCCCAGAGAGTTGATTATTATGGACTTGTTATCTTAATAAATGTCTAAATAATAAATTATATAACATCTGAAGCCAGAATAATGGCCTGGAATAGGCAAATTTAGCTCTTACATAATGCATCTTTAAGAAATACCTTCATTCCCCCGGGGGTGGATGGGTGGGGGTGCCAAATGTCTAAACGTGTGCGCATTGGATCAAAATGTCTGTCATTGAGTCAAGTGGCATAGTATTGATTCCCTGCTTGTATGTGACAAAGAGTAGAGTAGAGTCGTCTGTCCAAACTCGTTGGTTTTCTCCGGGTCCTCTGGCTTCCTCCCTCTGGTAAAGACCCCTACGTGCAAGCGAATTATTGAAATAAAATTGAACCATGTGTTAGTCCCAAATGGCCAATTTTGTGTGGAGTGGAGTTAAACCTCTCTCTCTCTCACTGTCTCTCTCTCTTCTCTCTCTCTCTCTCTCTTAAATATATAAGTCGGACTCTCTCTCTCTTAAATATATAAGTCGGACAAACTAGGCAGTATATAAGGTTGAATTTCTATAAAACACATTAACTAGATTGAAAGTTCTAGTCTGTAGAATGTGACAGCTCTCCTTTAACTGAGTGGATCGAATGTCAATTCTCCTTTAAATATTTATACTTTCATCTTCTGCTCGACTGCTTACCACAATCTTGCAGACGACCTTGCGGAGAGATCAACTCTTTTTTAAAGCTATCCAATCAATAATAACAAGAGTAAGCCATCCAACATGTAACAGAAAAGGAAGAATAAAATGGTCTGAAAAATAGTCGGATAGTGGTATGACCAATGTCTAGGTCATATGTTTTTTTATTATTTTTTAATTCTGTTTTAAATTTCAAATCTATATTTTATTATTCATTAAAGCTTGGCAAGTCATGAGTGGCAAACAGCAATTAATTTGTTAGTCAAATTATGTATGACATGCTGGCAACTAAAGTGGTTGATCTGTTAAGTTTCTTTAATTAAAATTGTTTAAATGTCTTCAATAATTATATGTTTATGTCAACACTTTCATAGTAACTAATTTATATAAAAAGACAAATGGAAATGAAATAAAATGGGGTTTAACGTCATACTGTTCGGCTCCAACTGGACTAATGAAGACGGGCATACGCCATACAGTTAGTCCCAAAATGACCTAGTTTGTGTTGTGGAGGTTAATCTCTCTCTCTCTCTCTCTCTCTCTCTCTCTCTCTCTCTCTCTCTCTCAATGAACAAAAGGAGTATATATATGTATAAATTCACAGCCTGTTTTTGATCTATTGGTCTGCTGAGTGCTGTTTTTGTTTTTTAATTCTTTTGTTATTTGATTATAAACGGTGATTTCTTGTAATAATGATTGATTATGTCTGCTTTAGGTTGACAATTTCTCGACAATTAAGAAAATTTCACCAGCTTTCGGGGCATCAGGGTATCCGGGGGGATTGTTTATTGCATCCCCAAGGACAGGCCTTTAATGAGGTGGTCGGACAGCAAATTATTCCTATTTCTTTTATGGAAAAGTCGGCCTAACCTAAGAAAATTAAATTAAGAGAAAAAATAGGATATGATTTGAAACCAGTCTATATGGATTAAAATGAAATGAAATGAAATGAAATGGGGTTTAATGTTCTACTGTTCTGCTCCGAACTGGGCTAATGAAGACAGGCATACGCCATACAAGGTGCTATGAGGGAAATTTTGCCCGGTCAGTGGCACTATGGCCTACTCTTATATCGAATTCCAACTGCCAAGGGATCTTTTACGTGCACACCAATGTGTACACGGGACCTCAATTTTTTGTCCCATCTGAACGACTAGAAGCTGTCCTTATCAGGCCCACTGTGACTCCCTATATAGATTGAATGGGGGGTTAAATGACCTACTTAAATGACCTACTTAAAGGTGCAAGTGCAGGGGGACTGCACCACACAGAAACAAATCTACGTACAAGACACAATATACAGACTCAACAAACAGCATACATCAGATCAGGTGAATGGATATGGGGGCCAGGCGTAAGTGTCCACTTATTTAGATAAGAGCTTGCTATAGTTCGGAAATAGATAATGAAAAGTAATATAATCAAAATTTCAATGAATTTACTTTTTTATGAGTGAAGTTATGTGTGTTCAATTTCATTTCAATAAATCTCTTGCGCATGGGAGTCTTTAGTCATAGGAGCAAACTGCATGGATAGGCGACACTAATTATGTATACCCTAAGCGGGGAATTCAAAACCAAGCCACTTGACTCAATAACAGATCATATGAATTGCCCCCCCCCTCCCACCCTCACTTAAAAAATGAAATATTGTCAGATATTTTCAGACTGGATTTGTCTGGCCATTTGGTATGTATAAACATCATTCATGGAATCCGTTTTTATTGCTATATTTTTCTGGCGATCATTGATTTACCATTAAATGGATTGTTCCAGATTTCTGCCATGCTTGTATCATTAACTGAATTGATTTCCTTAATGTAACCATATATCAGGTTTTTTAATGTTTTTTTTTTTATTGAGCGCGTGTCTGGATTTAAAACGAATGTTGGTTTACGATAACAGAGTTGGAGTTGGAAATTTAATAAATATTTTCTCGAGAATGAAATAATGAAATGGTGTTTAACGTCCTACTGTTCTGCTCCGAACTGAGCTAATGAAGACTGGCATACGCCAAACAGTGTGCTATGAGGGAAAATTTGTCCAGGCAACGGCACTACGGCCTACTCTTATATTGAATTCCAACTTTTACGTGTACGCTAATGTGTACACAGGACCTTGGTTTTCCGTCCCATCCAAAATACTAGACAGCTGGAAAATCTGGATATGAACTTTCTCGGCCAATGCAGGTATCGAACACCCGACCTCCAGGCTAGTGAGCCAGCGTCTTACCCCTTTAGCCACCGTGACCCCTCCATTTTCTTGAGAGTCGTTTTTCTGGAAGCAACAACAGTGAGTTTTACAAGATCTAGCAGTTGCTACATTAGTCTGAAATTCTCAAACTTATCTCCTTTTACCACAGACAGTCAGACCCATGAACAATAGCATTGTCCAATGAGAGGTCGTGACACCAACCCACTCAAATTAAACATGGCGACCTCCACGGATACCTTGACATTAAACGAACCTTGAACTTTGCAACTCAGTTATCACAGGTAGACATTTTAGCTGGAAAGCGCGAGACTTGGTTTTTGCGATGATATTTTTTATCAAGGAATCTGTGAGGTCCCCTGTAGCCAATTGAAATTAGTGCCGAAATATGCAGGGTATTACATGAAGGCTTTGATAAGATGTACATAGTTAAAGCGAGATCAAGCCTTCTGTTGAAGATGTTAAAGAGTAGGCTATAACCATACTTTTATTCTAGGCAGGATTGCGTGGCCGAATGGTTTATTACCTGCATTTTATATCACAAGGTTTGTCAAATGGCATGGTTTTAATTTCCAACTTGTACCTGACATTGAGTAGGGTGGCCTGTCCATCATTGAACCATATGTTAGTCACGGAATTACCTAGTTGAGTGAAGTTAAAGGGAAGTTAAAGCCATCGTGGCTCCCTGTCCATCACTTCCAGAAATTATACATCAAGTCAACAAGTTGTATTCACCAGAATCAAAAAGGGTTAGCGCCTTTAAATTTAAGAGGAGTTGGATGGCTGAATGGTTAGCTCGTGCATGCTGTATCATAAAGTCTGTCATTGAGTCAAATGGCGTGGTTTCGATTCCCCGGTTGTACGTGACAAGGAGTAGGGTCGTCTGTCCAACCTCGTGGGTTTTCTTTCCGGGCCCTCTGGTTACCTCCCACTGCTAAAGACCCTTACGCACAAGCGAATTATGGAAATAAAATTGAACCATATGTCGGTCCCAAAATGACCTAGTTTGTGTTGAGTGGCCGTTAAACCCCATCGCTCTCTCTCATTAAATTTAATGATGACTGTCACGAGATTGGTTGACATGATGGTGTCATGGTACCATTGATTTAATTC